GTTCTAAATCCGAGAGCTCTAATGGAGGAAGAATATCATTCTTAACTAGTCTTTCTATTCTCCCCCTCGAAATATGGCTAAAACGACAGTGCCATAATTTCGACGACGCGTCGCGAGCTCTCTTATGCCACCATTTCCAGAGTAACTCTCTGTCACCAGTTACTTTATCAGCTAGGTAGCATATGTCTTTGAAGAGCCAGTGAACTGCCTCTTTATTCTATTGAGGTACTCGGTGACTGTGTCATACTCTGGGATTGAGACCACAATTACAGGCTCAATCGTGTTCTTTATCACAGCCAAACATTTCTTGTTGGCAGTGACCCACTTCCTATGCACAAGGGCATAGGACATCTTTCGGGATTCAAAATCCCTTTCTTTAGTTGCCCAAACGGTATCAGCCTCGTTTGTCTCCCTCACCAGTGCCACAGGATCAGTGGGACACAGTGAGGTGACTACCCAGTCCACCTCAGCCAAGATGAAGGCCAAGTCAAACTTTTCCTTAACATAAAAATAATAATAATTGCATGCCTTGATTCCAACGTTGGTCAAAATCAAAACATACAACTGTTCTTACACACTAATTCTACATCACCGTTGGGCAGAAATAGAATTAATGCATAAATCATTAAAATTTACAACTGTTCTTATACACTAATTCTACATCACCGTTGGGCAGAAATAGAATTAATGCATAAAATCATTAAAATCACGATATTGTTATTAACAACGTTGGTCAGAAAATAACATCATAATCAAGTTAAAATCTCTTTTTCTCCAACTAAATATCACGTTGGTTCAAAATAACTGGAGACTAAACAATTTCTTTAGCAGCGGAAAAACTCTCCTTTTCTTCAATTAAATATCACGTTGGTTCAAAATAACTGAAGAATAAACAATTTCTTTAGCAGCGGAAAACGTATACCCAATTACTTTTCTTATTTTCTTTGAGCTATTTTTCATTTTCCAAAAATTAGCAATTACTGGAAAATAAAAAAGAAAAACTGATCTTGATTCTTTCACTGTTTTCGGCCCAATCGGCAAAAACAGCCCATGGCCCACAGCCGCGCGCGCACTCCCCCGCGCCCAGGCCGCAACCTAGGCCTGGGCCGGGAAAGTGGCCTCACGCCCTCGCTTGCCTGGGCCGAAAGGTGGGCCGATTGATCTGCGCCGTTTGTTCTGATCGGACGGTGGCGCGCGCGGATAGGGAGAACAAAACCTCGCCCGCGGCCGCGCCCTCCAAACCCTAACTCATTCTCATTCTCTGCCTCTCTCTCTTCACTCTCTCATGCCGAGTCGCCTCTCTCTCTTCGCTCTCTCACACCAAGTCGACACCGAGCGAGATTGAGCGAGGACGGCAGAGTCTTGGCGGCATCGCCGACCCCCTCACCGGCGTGCGCGCTCCCCAGCGGGTGAGCGCGCCGCCGTCGAGCGGTCTGGCCGCGGTGCCCCCTTGGCCAAGCCCGGGCAAAACATCTCCCCCCGGTTTGGCCCTCTTCTCCCGCACCGGCGAAAGGTTAGCTCGGTGCATGGCAAGGTAGACCCCTTCCCCTTTTCCCCTTCTTCTCCGATTTGGATCTTGTTTCTCTTTTGGGTTTCCATAGCTTCTTCTCAGATTCAACCGATTTGGGGATCTAGGGTTAGGGTTTCCCTTCCTGATTCGATTCGGTTCATCTTTTCATTTAATTTCTTTCTTTTCTATTTATACCGAATCGCTCTCTTCCCCTTCCTCATCGCGAGTTAGGGTTAGGGTTTGGTTTGAACCCGATTCGGTTTTTCTCTCGGTTTTGATTCGAGATCGGCGACATAAGCCCCCTTCCCCTTCTTCTCTTTTGGATCTGAACCGATTTTGGGGTTGGGGTTAGGGTTAGGGTTTGACTCAGAGTGCCGAGACCCCTTTCTATTCACTTCTTAGATCCGAAACCGATGCTCTTTTCTTGCCGCGCGCCGGCGAAGACGGCGGTGCGGCATCTTTGCCCGCTCGGTGGCGGTGGTGACCGGGAGTTCAGTGACATCCGCCACCCCCCGGTCTCTTTTCTTTTTCTTTTACCCGATTAGGGTTAGGGTTTCAATCCACCCTTGTTTTCGATTTCTTTTCAATTTTCAATGCTCTACCCCATACTAGATCTACACATTAGGCAACCTTGGCTCTGGTACCAATGTTAGTAACTTCTAAACTCTAGGTGTAGATCTAGCGGGTAAAGAACATTAATCTGTTGGTGTACCTTAGCTAGTGCGCCCGGTCCAGTGCCTAGTATGCCCGGTCCAGTGCCGACGGTGACGCTGGTGGCACTGCGGAGGTGGAGACGATGTCCAGTGGCGATGCAGAGGCGACGGCGGAGTCGGTGGGCTTCCCGTCGCTGGCAGCACTCTTCTTTAGATCGGATAGGTTTTCTGTAGGTGGATCACGGCGGCTCAGACCAACCTCGTAGTTAGAGCCGTGATCCCCACCTCTCTTTTATATGTGCTATGCGACAGGGGCCCACCAACCATATTAGGGTTGGGCGTCCCCGATCAGGGCGCAGAGACAAGGGCCCAATAGTCTGGTGGAGATCAACTAACATCAAGGACACCACTGAGCTTGTGATACATAGAGTATGATTCTTGCAATCCTAATTTTGTTGACTCGTTGTCATGCTTTTGGATCTCGATAGGTCATATGCACTCACTCCCGTGTATGAGGCTGCGACAAGATCGGTCTCTGAAGAGCAACCAACCACACCAGTGAAACCGGATCATGAGGATGCCAACACCAAGGATGTGGCCTTACCAGGAGTCAATCTGATATTTGATGGAGCTGAGCTGCACCCATTTGACATTGTTGCCTGTCTTCAAGCTCGCCAACCTCTCTCATTGATAGCCGAGGCATCGACAACATCATTGGCAATGAAATAATGAGTCCACTGCTAGTACATTTTCTGTAGGTGATGGAGTTCAGTAGTGTATGCCATTGCATTCTTTTTTGCTGATATATGCAGGATTGCTTCTTGAAGGGGGGCTTCTCAAAGCAGGCACTTTTTAAAAAGCTTGCTGCAACCACCAGCTTTGCCCTAGCGTTAGGTTCTCGTGGTTCTTATACAGATACCTTCTATTACACTGAGATGTGAATGTGACTAGTATTCTTAGTTGCTTATTTGATCTTTGTAGCCGTTTTTATTTTGGCAAATGCCATCTATGTAATTCGTCTATAAAATTCTTCGTGTCAAATGCTCCAGTGATTGTTAAAAAAATGAAAGCTTCACCACAACCGCCTAGTGTCATCGTCGTCGATGGTAGCTTAATCTACAGTAGGTTGTGTTTGGTTAATTGTAACTGACCTTTAGTAGCCCATCTCTTCACCTTTTTGCCGGCGAAAAGATAGGTTGATATCCTAAAAGTAGACCCAAGTCTCGATTACTTATATCTCACATCTCCTAGAAATCTATATAGGTGATCTTCTATTATTAGTAGTTTAGTTAATTCTTCTTCTCCCCTAGCGGATAACCAATATCTTTAAAGTGGATAGAGGAGAGGAGGTAGATCTTCTACATATGGGGGAGGGGTGGATTTTAAGTAACTACTCACTCTATCTTGAAATATGAGAGTTCAAAATTTGTATCAAAAGATAAAGTATTCTAGATGAGTAAACACTCTAAAATTTTTACATGCATACCTACCATTAATATCTATCACCAACCCAAATATGGTAATAATTGGGAAAGGGTACATGCGTAATTTATCTTACTACATAATATATCATAAAATTACGTGCATACCTTATATTTTAGGACGGAAGGAGTACTTAAAACTTAAATATTGTGGACAAGATGAGTAATCTGTTAGAGCAATTATTGCATATTTTTTGTATTCAGATGAGGTAAGTAATTTGTTGGAGATGCTCTAATGGGATACATAAAAATAGGATATTTTTGTCTTCCACAACTCTATTGAATATGAAAGTGACCATATACAACATAATGCAAATAATAAAACACCATCTGGTCATATATGCATGACAAATCGACAATTCAACCCTAACACATCACATATATTTTTGCTGACTTCGATTGTGTTGCCTAAGACCTAGTATAAACTAAATCTAGTGCAAGCAACCATCTTTTCTGCCGACAAGAAGGTGAAGAGATGCAAACTGGCCAAATAGATTGTCAACGACAACGATATAATCAACAAACCCGTCGACCACGAGTCCACCAAATCAAGCATGGAGGAATACCAAAGGTTGGGCAGTGCTCGTGTCCTGTAAAATCCACTCTCCTAACAAAATTGTTTACAACTTATCAAATGAGGCATGAAAACATTCCGCACTTTCTCAATGCCTGTATTCATGCAATCATTTTGGCTTTTTAATGTGCTGACCCACATAATAGGCTTTTTAGGATTTATACAAAGGGTAATTTCTCCTACCGTTTCAAAATAAACACACATCTCGCATCTCGATAAGTCAATTTTTTAAAGTTTGACCAAACTTATAAAAATACACTACTATTTGGGTAAACGTGCGAGACTTCCGTCTTGCTAGCTAGTTGCTTTCAGCAACATCTTACCTCCGTGTCGATGTTTCCACCCGCATTGGGGACACACTGACTAAGGATATGTTTCGAACACGGCAATTTTTTTTGTTTCTGTATGACCAGAGTTCGAATCCTTCTCAAGTGAATTTTCTGGTCGGTGGTGCGGGGAAAACCCCCTTGCCTATCCCGCGTTCCAGAAACACACGTAAAATGGACCGGCCTTCTCACCGGGTAACGGCCCCTGCGTGCGGACGAGGCATGGGGTTGGGGGTTTTTTGGGCTGGATGACAAGTCCTCTGCAGATAAAATAGTTCGGAGGTGTCTACCCTGCGGCTCGAGTTTTTTTTTCCATAAAATTAAACAAATTTCTATTAATAGGATTCATGTGAAATTTCTAGGTTCTAAACACAGTTTGCACCTAGCAAGCCTGATGACAACAAAGGGAAAGGACATCATCTAAATCGGCCGGCGCAGCCGGTACTCCCATTCTCCATGGCCGTTAAGCCCACATCCATCACCGCCGCCACCGCCGCCGCAGCCCTCCATGGAGACCAGCAAGTCGCCGCAGCTCTACTCGCCGCCGCGCGAGCCCTCCGCGGCGACGGTGATGCTGTGCCCGTGCCTGGCGTTCCTCCTCCTCGCCCTCATCATCATCTCCATCGCACTCACTGTCCACTTTCGCCTCTACTGCCACACCCCTCTTGCACACCTCATCTCCCCGCACTGCTGCCCCCACCACATCTGACCTCCGGATCCGCTCGCATCGCTGGCGTGGTCCTGCTTCCCAGAGGCGCACTCCCTCTGCTGCCGCCGAGATCCCGATCCCTTACGGGTTCCCCTCTCCACGCGACACCGGCATGTGGAGCTTACGACGTGCTCTGGGGCTTCGCGGCCGGAAGGTTCCTCTCCACCTCGGCTGCCTCCGACGAAGACGGGGGTGCGTCGGAGCAGGAGGAGGCGGCGACGAGCAACCCAGAGGTCGTGGGCCGCGTCTGCGCGGCCATCGCGGACGTCGTCGCCGCCGGCGCGGACGCGAACCTGGAGGCGGCGCTATCCGCGCTCTCGCCTCCGCTCTGCGAGGCGGTCGTGCTCGCTGTGCTCCACCGCTTCAAGCACGCACACAGGCCGTCCTACCGCTTCTTCAGGTGGGCCACCGCGTCCGGCGGTTTCACCCACACCACCATTACCTACTGCAAGATGTTACACGTCTTAGGCAAGACGAGGCAGTTCGAGTCGATGGTTGCGATGATCCAAGAGATGGGGAAGGCGGGGGCCCTGTCCATGGACGCCTTCAAGGTTGCCATTAAGTCCTTCGCTGCCGCTGGTGAGGTCAAGAATGCGGTCGGCGTGTTCGAGTTGATGAGAAAGAACGGTTTCGATGATGGGGTGGAGTCATTCAATTGCTTGCTGGTTGCTTTAGCCAATGAGGGATTGGGCAGGGAGGCCAGGCAGGTGTTTGACAAAATGCATGGCCAGTACTATCCAGACCTGCGCTCTTATACTGCACTGATGCTGGCATGGTGCAATGCGAGGAATCTGGTTGAGGCTGGGCGGGTTTGGAATGAGATGCTGGAGAAGGGAATGAAGCCAGATGTTGTCGTCCACAACACAATGATTGAGGGGTTGCTGCGTGGGCAGAGGCGACCTGAGGCCGTGAAGATGTTTGAGCTGATGAAGGCAAAGGGGCCTCCACCAAATGTGTGGACTTACACAATGTTGATCCGCGACCATTGTAAGCGGGGGAAGATGGACATGGCAATGGAGTGCTTTGAGGAGATGCAGGAGGCCAGATGCCAACCAGATGTTGCTACCTATACATGTTTGCTTGTTGGATATGGGAATGCAAAGCGAATGGACAGAGTGACTGCTGTGTTGGAGGAGATGACACAGAAGGGATGCCCCCCTGATGCTCGGACTTACAATGCACTGATTAAGCTGCTAACAAATAGGAAAATGCCAGACGATGCTGCAAGGATATACAAGAAGATGATCAAGAAAGGACTTGAGCCCACAATCCATACTTACAACATGATGATGAAGTCATATTTCCTTGGTGATAGGAACTATGCAATGGGTTGTGCAGTGTGGGAGGAGATGCACCGGAGGGGTATTTGTCCTGATGTTAACTCTTACACAGTGTTCATTAATGGGCATATACGACATGGCAGGCCAGAGGAGGCATATAAATATATTGAGGAGATGATTAATAAAGGGATGAAGGCTCCACAGATAGACTATAATAAGTTTGCTGCAGATTTCTCTAAGGCTGGGAAACCAGATATATTGTATGAGCTGGCTCAGAAAGTGAAATTTGCAGGGAAATGCGATGTATCTAATGTGTTCTTTCAGTGGGCAGATAGAATGAAGAGTCGGGTCAAGAGAACTGTACCTAATCAGATTGGTAATAGAATGTTCCGAGATTACCACACTGCCAGCAGGAATGTGGCATGCTGTCATGGTGCTTGAAATTTGATTAAGGAGCTGCTACCTTTTTTTGCCCTTGCCATTGTCTGGTAATGTGCCATTGAAGAGTACATGCCTTAATATTCGTTGGGCTGACAATGTTTTTCTTGAATATGCTCGGACCGAGAATGTTGAGTCAATTTATGTTGTAGCTGTCATATTTCTCGTTAGGGCAGTTTTAGATGCTTGTGTTTTTATATTGCTGCCTGAACCGTGACTTGGGGCTCTTGGTGGGTTTCAACTCTAGCCTTACCCAACTTGCTTGGGACTGAAAGGCTATGTTGTTGTTGTTGTTGTGTGTTTTTATATTGCTGATTTGTATGCTCATAGCTTAGAGCTAGCTGGAAATTAAATCCACTACTTGATTCCAGCAAGCATGTTTATATTCTCTTTAATGTTAAAATGAAGCATTGAACGGCCACTAGGCTTATGCTGAATATATGTATTTCCAGATACACCCTAAAGCAAATTTGCCATTGCTGAACAATGACTAATTTCTTCTGCTGTCTGAGATGCATATTCACTAGAAATTCTACAGAGAATTGGATAAATAGGTACTTCGAAGTGTGTTTGTAGCATCAGTTCCATATAGAGTTGCATTAGGTCATTCAAAATGACCTCTTTCTACAATTTCAGTCGCGTCAAAGCAGTACAAGTTCCTTTCACCTATAATATGTTGTAGCAGATGTCAACCTGTGCAAACTTTCATGTATGCTGTGTTGGATAACTAAGTTCCTTTCACATTGTCATCAAGCCCTTATACAAAAGTTAGCTCTGTTCTAACAAGGTCATTTTCATCTCCTTTGATGCTTACCATACGATCACTTTCTTCTAGTACAGTACAGCTCATGAGTCAAAACCAGCTCTTGTGTGTCATTCAGAACTGTTGATCTTAGTTTATGCAAAGTGAAGGACCCAAGGACATTACCTTTGATCTTTTGTGCTGTGTGGAACTGTCAGAGATTTCTGTATCAACGATTTGAGGCTGGTATAGACCTTGCACTGACATTAAACTGTTGGTAATGTTAAAGATGTGGCATGCTTGGTCTGGTCGGGATATTATATTAGATTGGTAAGGCTGACCCACAGCAATGCAGAAACATTCTTAGGTATCAAGCAATATGAATTACAGATCTTGTGTTATCCTTCCAGATCAAGCTTTAGTATATAATTTTGACCTGACGATTAAGAAAAGTCTTTTTTTTTCTCGAACACCAGTCAAAAAATTCTAAAAATCTTTTTTTTTTCTCGAACGCCAGATAGAGAGCACTGAATATTTAATTATAGCTGATACCTTTTAACATTCTTCAAGGCACTTAAGGTTACTGTTATTTCACCTACTAATTCTAGCTTCGAAATGCTTCTTTACCACTCATTATTTGACATGTGGCATTTAGCAATCTATTAAGAAAGTACCAGACAATTTGAACTATAGATCTTGTTTCATCTTTTCAGGTCAACTTTAATATAATTGTGACCTGACATTCAAAATTTTGTTCAAGGTACAGGGCCTACCATGTGCTTAATTATGTTTGATGCCTTTTAACATTCTTCAAGACACACCTAAAGCATATTGCTCTTTAACTAGCACCTGTGACTTACAAAATCCATTTTATTATCCACTCATTGTTTTGACTTTTGAGATCAATGCATTTATCACATTGTGTTAAGAAAAACTTGTTATTCACATGGTAATATGATATAGCTCCTTATTGTTTAGGATTGTTTGTTTCTTTGATTAAATTAGTTACCTGAGTTATTTCTTTGTTTCTTTTTTCATGCCATGACAAAGAAAACACCATCATTATCAAATATTCAAATGCCTAGAGTTGGGAAAAGTTTGACTATAATATTGATCTTCTTTCGTGGTCTGAGTGGAGTTTTTGCAGCTATTCACAGGCTGTAAAGTTCATGCACTGCCCTCCTTTGTGGACACACTTCCTGTTAACAAAATGCTACACAGTTGCATTCTACTTACCTTGTGATTTTGATGGAGCTCTGTTGCTGTGGTTCTTTGACATTTGTTGGTCCTTTGAGCATTACATCTGCATTATGCATTATGCTGTTCTCTATTGATCTCTACAGTGCATATTGTGGAGATCACTTACATGTTAATAATCTTTCTTCCCTCCAAACTTTCAGTTCCATCATATTGCACATTCTTGAAATGTTGTTCTGTCTTCTTATACTCGGTATTCCTGTAACTAGATTTAAACAAGGGTACAAGACAACAAACCTTAATAAATATATCACAGCACATGCAAATCTTTTGGTCTACCATGTGGTGAGTGTTTCCAGCTTGGCACTCGGTTGGTATGAGGCTAACAAATATCTACTATTGAGTTTGTTAGCTCCCGTGACTCTGGGCACTGCTTCACCATTTTGTGACTTTGGTATGCTTATTATGTTTGGTGAGCTCAATTTTCTATATTCCAATCCCTGCTCCTAGTTAATTCTGATAGCTGCAGTCTGCAGATCTTGTTTTCTATTGCTTCACTCCTGGATTAATCTGTCTGGATCACTAGATTGGTAGGATAAAACTGAAAGCAATGAGAATGGCATGACTCTGGGCCTGAATTTTGCGCAAGATCTGACTGTTCATTTGGTTCAAATCTTCGCTGCTGAACTGCATCTGCTGGGCATTGAGTTCTTCACTTTCTTTAGTACTTCTGTGGTCCTTGTACAGACTGCACTATTTATGTCCAATCTTCACTATTTAGTGTATTTCACGTGAATAAATACATAAGGCGTGTGAAACCTAACCTGGATTCATGTATTGTCCTAATTTTTATGTAAAAAAATATCTGACAACCTGGATGCATGATTGTTCTAACAGAGACTCTATGTCGAAAGTACAAGCGAGATAGCAATAAATTGTTTGTTCCTGTGTCACTGATTGACACATCATTTTTTTATTTGAGGTGTTATGTACAAGTGCCATTTTCATTGTTATCTTGCTTTAGTTTCTCCAGTTGCCACTTGCCAGTGGAAAAGAGTTACAGGATTATTTTTTTTCTGGAACACGAGTGGGTTAAAAAGCCCAATACAGCCACACACCTATGCACACCTTTTTACATGTAATATTTTACATCTCTTTCAAATTTCAAACTTGACCCAAGACCACTAGAGAGGAACTCACATATTGGCGGGCTCTAGAGCAAGGAGATTGGATATTCCCCGAGCTCCGGCCAAACTCCACAGGAGAAACTCATCTTTACTGAAACATAACACTATTTAGGCTTGGTTGAATCCCATCAAACACACAGCGATTGCGATGATTCCAAATGGACCAAGCTCCCATAATGATGATGGAATTGAGACCTTTTTTAGTCTGGTCATCAACCTCAGAATTAGTTCTTGCCCACCATGCATCAAAGGAGTTGTCATCAGGCTAGGGGGAGAGGTCCTGCAGGCTGACCTTATGTAAAATGTTTACCATATATACTTGCCAGGAGAAGACACATGAGATCAATAGGTGTTCAATCGTTTCCTCAGCTTGATCACAGAACGGGCAGCGTTCGGGATGGGGCAGACCTCTTTTAGCAAGACGGTCTGCAGTCCAGCACCTATTGTGTGCCACTAACCACATGAAGAACTTGCATTTGCCTGGTGCCCAGGTCAGATTCTTTCCCAAGGCCCAAACTGTACAACCCCAATAAAAAATCCCTCATATGCAGATTTAGCATAATACACTCCTGAACTAGAGAATTGCCATATACGAGCATCATTTACTTCAGGTTGCCGAGAGAAGGTCACACAACTTCAAAAACTCTATCAACACAGGTAATGGGAAAAGAGTTACAGGATGATAAATGATGAAGCACAGTACTCTGTTAGTTATGTTTTTTTTTCCCCTTCCTTTCTTGAGGTTACCTTAGGATTTTGATACTGAAATTTCCCTCTAAATTCTGGACTTGATAGATTAAAATCATCTCCTTGATACCACCACCATCAACCGTGAAAGTTTTTGATAAATATGAATGTGTTGACTTGATCCCATTTTATCTTCTCCTTATTTGAGCTTTCTTTTATGGAGGAAAACCAAAAGCAAATAAGTGTAACCTTATATTCTTATTGAAGGTACGAAATAATGTTCTGTTTGAACATTCCCTAGCAGCAAAATGAACGTTCGGGAAAGCAGGAATAAAATGCTGCTGTTTTTCATTGCACCAACTGTATGTGTACTGAAAGTTTACAAATGATGTTTTGTTTGAAAATTTCCCCAGTAATACATAATTTACATTTGTACAACCTTCCATAAGATTCATTTAAATTCATTGGTTTAATGAATATTAATTACTAGTTGGTCCTCCTCTGGGGGCACGCATATAATTCATATAGTTGATGCATTTCTTCTTTGGTCCTGTAGAAATATAGAGAGAAAAAAAGAGAGGAGAAAGCTCAGCATGTTTTGATTCGACTATAATCTGTGCCCTCAAGAAATCAGTGAACAGGAGTCAGGACTTACCTCCAGCAGCTGCAAACGATACTGCCTCTGACCACTCTGGACGATGCGAATCAGTCGCATAACAACGTAGAGCGGCAGCAGGATACCAGCAGCACGAAGTAAGTACATCTGCAAAGAAACATAACCTCAGCTTTTACTCCATCAAATCAGGTTACTTTACTCTCTCTTCTTTTCTGCTGGGCCATGCCAACAGTGAACTCACTGTCAGGAGACTGAACTTGCAGTGATCTGCTGCTTCAACCGTCACCACTGCAACCAGATGCCATGCCAACAGCATAATGGTGAACTGCACAGGATTGCAGAAGTCAGAATCCATAGGACAGCATGATCAGGACTTGTCCTGAAGGAAGGTTAGTTCAATTCGCTGCATGACTTCGAACACTTTATACCGTGATCGCCATCGACCGACACCATGTGGCGCATTGATCTGCGGTGTAGGAGAACCTGCTGTAATCTTCACCGTCAATCAAGCCCACAGGAGATTCCAAAGATTGCATGCCCTCATGTTCACTACACGATCAGTTGGCAGAAGAGTTCCATTTACTGACAAAATTTAGATGGTTGCCAATTTGACCGGACTCCCATTACAGAAAGTATATAGGCCCACTTGAATGCATTTTATATTTTAATTTTTCTTTGCAATCTTTCTGAAACTTTTGCAGTTTAATGATTTTTTTTTTTAAAGAATGAATGGTTAGTCAACATTCTCAAATTCAAATTTTGGTCTGAAGTTTCTGGACGAAAAATTCCAAGTCCTTGGTCACCACTAATTACTAGGTTTCCGGTAATTGGTGCTCTTTGACAAATGGTGAATCTAGTGGCTGCAATGCATAGCTGCGTGAAGATGCAATGAGTTAATGTTATGTATTGTGATTGAGGACACCAAGTGGCCGGAGCATTAGCTGGAGGTGCTAGGTGGATGTGTATTGACACTGTGTCTGTGATTTGGTTTTGGACACACGCTTTTGACAGGACCACTCTTCTCGCCCATGCAACAGCACAGCTCAGTCACAGGTCATCATGCATACCGTTGAGTGTAGCTGTCTTTTCTGTTCATTGTGGCAATGAAGAGGGTATTTCTAGTAGCTATCACATTGCTAGTCATGTAAGCGCATATATACCAGCATTATGCATATATAATTGCTGCATAAGCTCTATGAAAACGTCTATCCGACGTATCTTCTATGCAAATTTGGTGTACTCCCAAATGTCGATGGATTCGTTGAGGCCGGCGAGAAAGCGTCAGTTTCCAAACAGCAAATCTTACTAGCGCTGCCTAGCAATTTGCTTTTGCTTAGATGTGTGTTACTGCCGGATCTTAGATGGTGGGTGCTCCACACTCTGGTACCTGGATGCAAAATATAAGCATGCTTTTTCTTGGCATGAGGTATGTAGCTGTCTGGCCATTTTAAATAAATGTTTAATGGTGACATGCATGGATCAGATCTCATCAACCTCCAGTTGTTAGCAGCCTAATCGCTTTTGTCGCGGTTTGAATGACTGTGTTGTTCGAAAACAATGTGCTACCTAATGATATGTATGTTTCCGTTGAAGGGCGGGCATCTCTGCTACTGCTACTGGAGGACATGGCAGTTAGTTGCATGACACTGGCCGGCTAAGCTTAAATATAATCAGCTAGGACATACAGTATATGTTTTTTTATTAATCCACCATCAGCCTGTGACCTGATTGGACAATGCAATAGATTGTGTAGATAGAGGCAAGAATGTGTGCGTGTGTACTGTGTAGAGTGAACTACCTGATAGTGACCACCGTTTCAACCACCGGAGTTTTCTTTGGAGGCATTGTGTAGCCTGGCTCGAAATTCTGGAAGCAGAAAAAAAATAAACATCAATTTTCCTTTCCTTTCCTTTCCTTTCCTTTTAGAAGATATAGCATAGATCAAAAGGATGAATAGAATGTTTTCTCTTTTTTTTTTAGAAGAAAGGGTTTCCCCTGCTTTTGTATTATCAAAAGCAAAGACGTTTTACAGTTCTGGCGTATAGGCGCGCCTGCCAAAATCAAGGCTCTACGCCAAACTGAGACACAACCTCAGGTCTATTGACATTACACGGCGTATTAGGCCGACTCGAAACGACTGATCCCAAAGGCTAAGCACCCAATAGATCCCACCCTGATGATGTATTGATCACGACCGGCATCCACTGCAGTTGAGGGGGCAATGCACATGTCATTGCTGAAGATATGATGGGGCGGCACAACATAGCTAATATTTTACACCACATTGCACTTGCTTACGGTTGAAAGGTAGACCTACTTTGTTCACCCTCAAAGAAATATCTCTTGCTTAGGTTTCACGAACCATGTACATGTCAACCCTTAATTGCAGTCCATAAACAAGGAAAGTGAGCTTAGCTGACACCTTTTCCCACTAACTACAACTTTCTAGCCACCCCCAAGAAAAGCAGCGTTTCATTGATAGTAGTACAGTAATTAACAAGACACATATATGATACGAATTACGAGCAAGTAACAAGAAACAATGTGCAAGCAAATTAACCAACCTGAAGGCAAATCTCACAGAGGGTACTCCCCTTCTCATCACACCATCTCTGCACACATCCCCTGTGAGCATACTGCATGCATTTTGCATACGCACGGTTTCACGTTACATTAGCATACCAATGTCAAAACACCATCGGCAGTAGTTTCAAGTAAGAAATTGCCTCAAGAAACCAAGACCAAGAAATATTTAAGACATATATGTAGAATTGAATGATGTGTGTTAGTTCCTATGTACCTTGAGAGAGCCGAAGCATCCACAAGGAGACTCCATGGTCGCGCGCCCTTCGTCCTCTTCCTCATGGCAGATCCTACACTGCATCAGGTAACCCAAGGAGGAGGAAGATGATGACAGCTCCTCTTCATCTTCCATTTCTTTCACCCTTCCAATGATCTCCCTCCCATACACTTGCAATGCACCGAGGAAGAAGGTGCTTTAAATAGCCATGGAGCCAGTCACTCTCACTTCATGTCCTCATGGGAGGATTAGAATAATCCAAATGCCACCACCCACTGCTTACCAACCACTGTTAAGAGGGACCCAACCTTTTTGGTTTGTTCCTTTAGCTAGTAATTTAAACAAGCTGCCCATCGAAGGAAAAACGAAGAAAAGGAACACCAGCTGTTATCAGTATCGTCTCCGCCCATCATAACTATTGGACGATTGTTAGGCACGTAATGTTTGGCTTTTGAAGCTTAGTGGATGATAGTTGGATATTGCTATCATTGCAGCAGGACAAGGGAGACACCAATCAACAGCTACAAGGATGAAACTAAGATACGGGTCTTTTTGAACTATATATACAATTCTACGTAACATACTGTTTCTGCAGTCACACAAAAAAAAACATACTGTTTCTGCACCGTCTACACGTGCCATCTTTCCCTTGGCTTTTATTTCAAGTTTTTTTTTTTGTTTTGTTGGCGGATGCATTCTTATCATTGCTTTGCGTGACTTCCCTTCATAAAAGCACAGCTGCTTAGCAGCATAGAAAATTTCTATTGGAAATGGCCAATATATGTAGTTGTATAGGATACCTTAGAGATTAGATGGATAACCGCAATTTTTAATAATCCATCTATCCCAATCCACATGTATTGGGGTTGAAAATTAACTAATTTCACTCCAATCCACTCTGGCACGTATGAATTGATGTGGATACAAGTACAACCAAACAAACTGTCGATGTTTTACCACCGATAGCCTGCCACGGGGGTACCCGGGGCAGTATGTTCGGGTTTCGGCGTATGCTGAACTCGATGGTAAACGCAAGAGACAGTCGATTTATCCTGGTTCAGGCCCTCTATCGTAGATCGAGTAACGACCCTACGTCCAGTCAGCGTTTGCCTTTTGCGTTGGATTGATTATGAAGTGTTATGTTGTACAATTGTTGTCGTTCTTTAGGAGCCCTGCCCTCCTTTATATAGTCAGGAGGCCGGAGTCCTAATCGGTTTACAATGAGATTTTCTAGTAGGATTACTTAATAGTTCTATTACTAAGATTACATGGGAAGAATCCTAGTTGAACTAGATCTTCTCTCTCTCATGCGGGGTATCCTGTGGGTCCCGCATCGACAAGCCCCCGAGCACTTCATGGTTGAGCTCTGAAAGTCTCGGTTTGCTCCTTCAAGTCTTGTTAGGTAGGAACAAAATGTTATCCGAGTGCTTTCTGGAGTGAAACCTTGTAGCGTTTCTTGGGACCTTCGAGTGGTGAGTGTTTTGTGAAGAAAAAGTATATCCATCTGGTTGTAGCCCCCGAGCCTCTTGCTATTTGGAACAAGGAGCTGGAGGATCTTGTCTTGAAGTTGCTCTGATTGTTCGTTGAAGTTTTGTCAAAAAGAACTCGAATATGGCTCGTTCCGGGTTCTTTTTGTCATAATGTCTTGAAGTAGTCTGCGTTGAGGAAGTCTTTTGGTGACGTGCGCTTTTTCGAAGAAAAAGTGCACTCACTGAGTGTAGCCCCCGAGCCTCTTGCTATTTGGAACAAAAAGTTGGAGGGTCTTGATCCTTTATGTTTGTTTGAAAATCTGTGCTCTGAAGTAATCCCTGAGATTTGAATTTTGTCCTCATCCGAGTAGTTTTTGTGGTATCTTTCCGAAGCGGTCCTTTAGTCCTGGATTAAACCATCATCTGAGTAATTTCTGTGGTATCTTTCCGAAGCGGTCCTTTAGTCTTGGATTAAACCATCATCCGAGTAGTTTCGTGGTATCTTCCGAAGCGGTCCTTTAGTCTTGGATTAAACCATCATCCGAGTAGTTTCGTGGTGTGCGACCTCCGAGCCTATGTCCGAGTTCTTTTTGGGTGGGTGCAATTTTTCATAAAATTGCACTCACCGAGTGTAGCCCCGAGCCTCTTTGCTTTTGCTTGCAAAAGTTGGAGGGTCCAGATTCTGTCTTCAAAAATTTCGGGGCTATGTATCCCATGACCTCGTGCTTTCTCCGAGTTCTTTTCGTGTATCGATCATTGAAAGTGTAGCGTTTCCGATGGTGTGTCTCCGTTAGGGTGTAACGAACAACGTATGTTTTCAATGTCATCATATCTTTCGGGTTTGGAAAACTTCTTTGATTTGTCGGCCATTGCCACGGTATTGTCCGGTCTCACGCTTTCTTTCTTGATGTACGCTATTTCGATGATTTTGCCTATCCGGGTTGTCTTGGTTGCTTCTATCCAGGAACCTTTCTCGTGTTTTTTTTCTTCTGCAGTAATCATTTTTTTCTACTGCTCGTACGAATTCTTCATTGTTTCTCGGATTTTCTTTGCAGAAGTCTTGAAATTGCCACCTAGCCATGATTCCGTGAGAGAAAGCTTCAATTACTTCTCGTTCGGTGATGTCATGCACTTGAGCCCGTAGTTCACCGAATCGCCGATAGTAATTTCTGAGACTTTCGCCCCCCTTTTGTTTGAGTCCTTTCAGTTCGGCATGAGTGATCGGGTGTGTGATGATACCTGCGAAATTTTCACAGAAAGCTCTTTGCAAGTCTTCCCAAGTTCTGATCGATCCTGGGTTCAATTTATCGAACCATTGGAGGGCATCGCTTCAAAGTGCCATGGGAAAGAACAAGGTTTTGATATCATCGTCTCCTCCGGCTAGTTCAATTGATTGTGAATATATTCTGAGCCATTGCCTTGGTTCGGTTTTGCCATCATACTTGGAGTGATTAGATGGTTTGAATTTGTGAGGTAATCGTACTGATGCCAACCTGTTTGCAAAACAGGGGAATCTGTCATGCGTTCCGGCTTCCTTGAATTCGGATTCGGCTCCTTCTTCTGGCCAAGTGTTGTTTTGATGGGAATAATTCTGCGAGGCTGTCTGGGTAGGCCCTCTACTCCTGGTCTTCCTTGGTTGTTCAAATTGATGGCCCCGACTATGTTCCCTCCTACTTCCTCCGCTATGGCTTCCGCCTGGTCCAAGTCTTTCAAAAGCGGACTTCCTTTGATTTTGATCTTCTTGCCTGCGGGTTGTTGATCTGGCGGGTAGTCTTGATCGGGTTCTCTCTTCATGCGTTCTTGGGATCGTTGACCGGAGCAAGTCCTGGAGCTGTTCGTATTTCTCTCCGTGATGTGAAGTTGCCCTGAGTTCTTCTAATGCTTCTCGAATCTTATCGTAAGGCGTACTCACTGTGCGTCTCTCTTCGACCTCTTGTTGTGATTTTCTTTTGTCGTATTCAGCCAATTCTGACTCGTATTTGGTCCAAGCTTCTCTCTGTCGAGCGAGCGGCGGTGTTGGCGCCTTGTTTCAACTTATTTTTCCTTTCTCTAGCCTTGTCTCGACTCTCGGTTTCTCCATCATAGCCCTGAGCAAAGGGTGATATGTTGGATTCGATTCATCCGATGACCGACATCGGGTGCTTCGGGGTTTAATGGTGACCGAGGACGCCGAACCATGAGCACTTCCGCGTGAGCCGTTCCGTTATTATTGTTGTTAGTTTTCATACTGTCGGAGTTGATGATGACTTCAGTATGCGTCTCGACGTCGTAGATTGAGTCTTCCTCTTGGTAAGGTAGAATAGCTGTTGTTGTGCCGACTAGTTGGGTTCCGCTATCCTCAGGAACGGATCCTGGCCAGTGGATGATACAGTCTTGCGATGTTATCGTTAGTACGAGACCCTCCTGGGCTCCTGTCAGTGGTATCCCAAGTGTTGGTTTGAAAGACCCTTCAAACTGTCCCTGATAGGATTTTGTCGTGTTGTCGAGTCCAAATGGAAAAGAACTCGGCCTTTTGAAAAAATTCTGAGGGTAATCCGAGTTGTTTTGGGTTATGCTCTGGAATCTTGCCAAACAGGAACTCGACTTCTTGAAAGCACTCGAATAGGACTTCATCTCGGATACGGAGCTTGAATTCGAGTCGGATGCGCAAAGCCGTGAAACCTGAGTCGAATCGGATATCATGAGCTGCGCGAATCTTCCAGAGATATGGTCTGTCGTAGTCGCCGGAATAGAATAGTCTTCGTGGTGTTTCGAATCTTCGAGGAGACGGCTTTGGAGCTTGCCATTGCTGTCCGCTTCGCAGATCCACGAGCCAAAGATGAAAGTTGATCCCGTCGAGAAGTTCATGTTGTTGAGGTCCATCGAGCTCTCGGATGCAAATTCGCCGAAGGCCCCTACCTGGCGCACCAGCTGTCGATGTTTTACCACCGATAGCCTGCCATGGGGGTACCCGAGGCAGTATGTTCGGGTTTCGGCGTATGCTGAACTCGATGGTAAACGCAAGAGACAGTCAATTTATCCTGGTTCAGGCCCTCGATCGTAGATCGAGTAACGACCCTACGTCCAGTCAGCGTTTGTCTTTTGCGTTGGATTGATTATGAAGTGTTATGTTGTACAATTATTGTCCTTCTTTAGGAGCCCTGCCCTCCTTTATATAGTCAGGAGGCCGGAGTCCTAATCGGTTTACAATGAGATTTCCTAGTAGGATTACTTAATAGTTCTATTACTAAGATTATATGGGAAGAATCCTAGTTGAACTAGATCTTCTCTCTCTCATGCGGGGTATCCTGTGGGTCCCGCATCGACACAAACCTTTAGGTTAAATAACCCTAGACTCAGTTTTAAAAGGCAACATTCACATACATGCTGTAAGGAAAACGAGACATAGCTAGAGCCATGTTTAATTTTGGTGATTGTATGATAATATGATCAATTGCACTAATAATGTTTGCCAGTATACAAGATATTTAGTTCAAATGGATGCAAGGATGCCTTGGACAAAGGCAACATGAAGATCCAGTGATTAACACCTCAAGAAAAATCAAGAAGCCCAAGACATCAAGTAGAAGAAAGCCTAGTAAAAAAACACGAAAAAACGAATCAAATAGACACTGAACAATACCACCAGACTTCTCCGATGATATCTTCCTCAATAGCGCCGGAGCT